GAAGGCATCGACGTCAGGGATAGGACTCAGCGTTCAATGAACCCCAAGGCAATGTCGGCTCTTGAATTATTCAGGAAGCGTTTCATGTGCCTGCAGAGAACATCTGGTGAGATAGTTAATCCCTGCAACAAAGATCTTTGGATTGAAGTGAAGGAGGCCTTCAATTCCCTTCCCTCACAAGAGAGGCAATTGTACGAGTCGATGGCTGCGGAGTCCACAGTGCAGGCTGCAATTGACAGAGCAAGAGCAAAAGAGTCCAGGTTCAGGTCCATATCTGCACCTCAATCAGCGGCATCTCCTCAGAGAAAGTTGTGTCATCAGGCGTCCAACATGGAAGTGGTTCAGTACATGGAGAAAAGAAACGGCCTACATGCACAACTTCTTCCTTTGCATGAGCTTTGTGAAATTATCCTTGGGGGAGGCCTACAAGAGTTACAAACACGGGTCGCGAATGCTGGGTCAAGTCGTGCTGCGGGTTTGAATGCTTTGTCAACAGATTCCTTCCCTACAGGTGAAGCTTCCCTGGAAAAGCTTTGGAGATCTCATCTAGCTTCTGGAATCACTGGAAAGGTGTTTTTGAGGAATTCGCAATCTCAAACAGAGAGTATTGGACAACCAATGTCTCAGGAGGACTCTTTTCCGTCCAAAGTTGTGCGTGAGAGCTTCTGTGGAGAGCAGTGTCGTCATTATGCTGATCGGAGGCGCATCGGACTGCGCGCGAACACTCTTGACCTTTTCAACTTCATTGTGAAGCAGAGCTTTGATTGTATCCAGTAAGTTTTCACCAAAGGCCAACAATAGGGTACAACTACGGTACAAAGGTACAAAGATACGACAAAAATGTATTGTCATCATATTATATCATATATTATATTATCCTTTACTGGCATGCAGATTTTGACTGCACAGGGAATAGACTAGATAAAGTGAAGTCACCCGAACACTGTTGGGCCACATTACTGTAAAGAATATGTAATATATTATATACAGTATACGATATGTACACATAGTATTGTGCAATATACTTTAACCATACATCATTCACATATCTTATCTTATATCCACCCAACTAAGACACTTCATGCCTGATGCTTATTTGGTTTATGACACCTAGCCTTGTCAAAAGGAAAGACCATGGCCCACCACTAAATAATCAACACGCCGGCTACATATGCAACGCAACATGTTTGTGGGTTGGTAGCAAAGTTTTAGCAATGGAAGCTGTGAGCCAAATCAATTTCTGTTGAAACATCTATCGCTATGTGCATCGTTTTCAACCGGCACCAAAGCCAGGAAAGGGGGCATCAAGAGCACTGTGCAATCAGATGTACTTTGCGCTTTTGAGGTTATTGATTCAGCTGGTGGAAGACATGTCGATTATGCTTTTATTTCTGCACCTTCTGCCCAGTCTGGCACGCACAAACCTCGGCAAGTGTTTGTTTGCCTTGACTACAAAGGCGTGGACTTGAGCAATTTGGAACCGGATCTAGGTCCAAGGGCTTCACTTTTTCGAGGATTGCTGCTAGAGTTGTCCACGTCGAAGTACTGGCAACCACAAAACACGGTTTATTATCCAGAGCAACCAGCAAAAGTTGGAAGACTCAGGATGTACATGTCTGATGCTTTTGCAGCTCATCTTCTGGATATGCCCATTCTTGTGGATGAGAAGCTTGACGCTGTTGAGGTATCGGCCACTGTGCCTTTGTTTCAGGAGATCTTGCCTGGCCTAGTGAGAATTCTGGGTGTAGACAACTCAATGTCAAGCTTGCTGGTGAAAGCAGATCATGTCATGTTTGGCGAGCAGGATGCTAACGAGTCTGACGACTTGAATTTGCCAAGCGTGGTAGGTGCAGCTATTCCAATCTCAGGGGAAGTGGATTTGTTGCAACTGCTGGAGCAGCAGTCAGGTTGTCAAACCCGTGCCTCAGACGGAAAACCTCCACGGAAGAGGACTAAGACAACAAAGCCTGTCCAGCCGCCAATGCCTGATGATGAACAAACACCATCAAATCCAAAAAATAGAGATGACGCTGTCCTCGACGATCCCTCATTGCGAGCCTTTTTGACTGAGGATGACATCGAGGCAGTCTGTTTGCAAAGCAGCGCAGACTGCAGGGGACGTCTCAGATTGGATTGCTCAAATGGTAGAAGAGGATGTGGAGCAAGATCCTGACGATGAAGACATCACCGCCAGTGAGATAGCGACGCACCCGCCTGCTGAGGAAACTTCAGAGACAGGTGCTGCATCATCATCTGGATTCAAAGAGCAGCCACACCCAACTTCAGACACTTTCCTGGAATCTGATTGATGAAATTGTTTGCTAGTTTTTGAAGTCACCCCATTCTTCACCACAACACCAACCCTTTAAATTGTTGGTGGTGAGATCAGACTATTCAGATTCAGTTTATGAAGCAAACACATATCATATCACCAGAAAGTAAACACTTAACCCCCGAATGTTTTCCTAAGTAGTCGCACCATGACAAACACACAGGCCACGGTATCACGACGATATCACTTACCTTTGTAGAATTTGGTCTAGCCCTAGTCCAGTCGAGGATAGCATCCTTGACGCACCTGGACATCGAGATGGGTGCATCCAAGCCCCGTTGCAGGAACCAGCTGCTTGTTGCAAAGAGAATGCCAAGACAACGGTCTTGTCACGCGAGCCTGATGGTACCAGAATTGAGGTAAGGTACATCAGCAAAGTTAGTATTCTTGCAGAAGTGGTGTTGGTAAAGGATTCTGAGACTAAAGTTTTGGGAGTTATAAAGCTCATGATTGATTCGGTTCGAGGGAATCAAACACTCCAGGGCGTATGCAGATGCCACAAGAAATGCATTTGTTGGATATCGTCCACGGGCATGTCGCACACTGCAGGCTGCCTTAACATATGAACTGTGAGCATTGATATCAAATCTTACAAGTGAATCTAATCTAAGGTATTGGCCGAAGGAGCCAGGCAATCAAGGGTGGGTGTGCAGTCGTCGAACTCCCAGGAGCCCCAAGCCAAAGGACTGGTACAAGTTCGCTTCAGGTTCTGAGGACTCAGAGTAGAGTAGAGCTCAGTGATCAGTGATCAGTACAGTCTCGTACAGCAGCTGCTGCCGAGAAGCTCGATCATTGAATCAGTGCAGCCATTGCGCATTGAAATTGCCTCCTTTGGTGTCCCAATAGCGCACAAGCTGTTTTTAAGGCCGGCTTGAAGGCTAGTGGATTTCACCCGTTGCCTCTCTTTGTTTTTCGGTAGTCCGTGTTTGTGCACAAGCGGCGTAAACTAACAGGTGTCGGTGTTGATGGTTTGTTTATGTTTGCTTGGTCGATAGTTTCGACTGGAATCAGAGGCCGAGGCGTTTTTCTCCTTTGATCATTTGAAACCGCTTCACGCGTACGTCACGCAGTGAGCACGTGCGTGACAAAAATGCTCAAATGTTCAAGTTGGATTCTGACACTCAGTTTCTTTTTCTCTACAACAGATTGTGTGGGGAAAGCAATGCCTGGGTGTCAATCGAATGATCGAATCATATCATATCATATATAATATCAGATGATACATATCAGCATGATAGATATATATGTATATATATTGTATATTATAATGACTATATAATCGAGTTTTATTCATCAAGACTCAAGACAGTTTTTGGAGTGTGCCGAAGCCAGCAACTTGTGAGTTGTCTACTTTTTGTTGGTGGTAGCATGCACGCAAAAGACCGGACACATACTTTTTCTCAAGCACTTTGTTGCGAGTGTTCCCTGTCACTGTGATCTAGTGATCTGTTCGTTTGTCGTTGCGAAGCTTGCCTATGCCGCGCCCCAAATCGAACAACTCCGCGTGCAAGTTTTGCAGGAAGAGGTTTGGTGTGGATCCCAACCCCACGGTCTTGAATCAGCCAGACGACTTGCTGAAGAGGAGGTGTCCCATGTCGAAGGATTGCAAAGTGTGTCATGGCTTCATCAAAAACCATCCAGTATACTCGGAGATGTCATCGAGTGCTTTGGAGACTCACCTTCAAGACCCCCAGAATTTCGAGAAGTTCATACGCGAGCATGAAGAATGGTGTGAGCAACGACGCAACGGATCAAAACGCAGGCATGCAGAAGGCAAGGTTAGTTCACAACAATATTTGTGGGGCAGTGGGCTTGGTTTCAGCAAACACCACCACTGTAGTGTAGTGTTGACACAACCCGGTCGATCAAATGTTACTGCCCCTCCCCTGTTGAGGAGAGAAGACCACTACTGCAGAGCAGACCAGCAGCTTCGAGACTAAGCAGGTCCTCGGCTACCTTTGGACCAAGCAGCTCTTGAAGAAGCATGGTAAGCCAATACCATCCAAGTTCCAAACCATCAAGCACCAAGGGCAGGTTGTCAAAGGAGCAATACTTGAAGAGTGGGTGGTTGGTGTCTTTGATGGTCTCAGTCCATTTTTGTCGTTCGGTGTGCGTTTTGTTTTGAGAACTTTCATATTTCATATTTACTCTTTTTCATATGACTCATTTCAAGTGAATGTCTCAAATAAGACTGTAGACCTATTATATGTATAAACATAGTTTAAAGAAACATAACCTGAAATTATGAGTATGGTTGGTTTAGTTTTTTTTACTATTATTACTAATGACTAATGACTAATATAGACATATGACTCACTCGATTGAAACATGGTCAGTACCGAGGATCTATTGAAGTCTCCGCCAGTAGTGCGAAGACTGCAAAACACGTGGCCGTGATTGCAGATGGTGGCTCCGACGATGACAATGTGGCAGCAGAGACCTTTGATGTCGCCTAGAAAAAGTTGAGGGTGAGCAGTGTCCAGAATTCCGAAGGCGAAGTTGGCTTGAAGCTAGCAATGTTCAAGATGAAAGTTTGCTTTGTTATATATATTTGTGCCAAAGGACTCACATGCCAACATCCTACTTTGGGGAAGCTTCTTTTTTGTGGGGCTGCTGCCAGTCAAGGAAAGTGGCATCCAAATCTGACAATGATGATCACGATGATCTCATGGCATTGTTGTGGGGTGATAGCAAGTGTCCTTTGGCATCTACCGGTAAAATGCAGGGTACTTCAGATGGTGACGAAGAGAATCCAAACGGCAGCTCTTCGAGCAAAAGACGGAGACGGAATCGGCAGCCAGCTGGTGAGGATGCTGCTCCAACTCTACCTGCTCCTGATCAAGCCAATGCCAATGCCAATGCCAATGCTACGCCCTTTTCATTTTTGACTCCTGCCACCACCAACAAGAAGGCAGCCCAAGAATCCCGTGAACTGGACAAGGCAGAAGCGTTGGCTCTGCAATGCAACCAGCTCAAGTTGCAGTTCCAAGATGCTCCTTCGGTCATGCAGGTTACATGCTCCAAGGTGAACGGTATCATGGACAAGGTCGATGCCAGATTGAAGGATTCTACGGAGGTCAATTGTGAAACGGTTCGACGTGACGGCAGCGGTTGTCGAGCAGAAAGAGTATGGCAGAATTTGAAGGACTCGAAGTCTTTCTTGGAAGCAGCTTTGGAGATGGTCGAAGCTCTGCACGATAAAGAGGCTTCACCAGAGACAATGACTATGAAGGTGCAAACACTCAAGTCTATGGGAGTGTCACTGCCCGTGGTTGTCCAATCTTCAATCTTGAGTCGTCGCGCTGAGTCTATGCTTGAGAGTGGCAAGGTAGCGGAAATCTTTGAGATGCCTCACTACAAGAATGGTCAAAGCACCAATGATTCTGATGCTGGGATCAACGCCGTTGTTCCAAGCAAAGAGAACGAGGAGACGCGAAACAAGATCATCAGTGACTTTCAAGCCGCATGCGTGACGCGCCTGATCAACACCATCTTCCTGAAGCAGTTCAAGGTGGAGTCTGGGTTTCTTAGACATTTGCTGAATATACTTTCTATCAACTATGACTCTGACTTAGACTATGACTATAACTTGAGCTAGATTAGGCTATACTATACTATCCATCACATTTTGTGCCAACAACTTATTTTATTTGCTTTGAATTTGTTTTTGGTATGAATCAAACTGGTCGGTAAGTAACTTTGTCCACTTATGTCACTGTCGCCTTGTTGACCCAAGGTCCACAGATGACGGCGCCGCCAGGAAGAAATTCATGGACGAGATGCTTGAGAAGCTGCTGTCGTTGGTGAAGGCTTTCCAGAACTCAGTCATTTTTGATACTGCAGCTCCAAAGAAATATCAACGTTCAGAGATGATGTCTTGCACATCACACTTTTGCGCGATTCCATTTCAAGCCCGTCATCACTCAATGATCAGATGGTCGAGAAGCTTGAAGCAGCAAAGCAGAATCTTCTGAAGCCAAAGGGCTCGTTCCAATCCGGTATGACCATCTATCCTACGGGCTCGTATCTCTCGGAGCAGGTCGCCCAAGTGATTGGGCAATTTCAGCAGGATCAGATGTTGAGGAGTGACATGCAGTCGGCAGACGAAACAGCTGCTATTTGGAAAACCGAAACCATTACAAAGGACTTGATCTTGAAGTCAAAGGACGATGACCATGAGTTCTGCATACCCATGCAGAGCAAATTCTACGACATGGTTGCCAAGCTTCAGCTTTACAAGGAGTCTGCTTCAGATAGGCTGAAGGCTACAGACAAGAGCCTTGAGGTCGTCAACAGGATTGATGGTCTTGTGGATCAAATGCAAAGTGCAGTGACTGCAGCAGTGGCCTTCAAGAGCACACAGAAGTTCCCCAAGCTGCTCGAGTCATTTGCTTCCTTGGCCGACGGTAACTTGACATGGATTTATTTTGTTTTATTCAGTTGGCTTTGCGCATCTTTGAATTGGTAACATGGGTTGACAAGCAAAAGCAAAGTATGAAATCAGACTCTAACAATTTCAATTTAACCAATCAATGTCAAATAGACGACGCTAAAATACAGTAGATTTTGGTGATCTCACATTACGTCAAACCAGGTAAGATGGATGAAGAGAATGCGGCGAACTTCATCCAAACCTTGAATGGAGTGGTGACATATCAGCCTTTGCGCAAGGTGGCGTTGGCAAAGCTTTTGGGGAAGGACGGGGCATCTCCTCTTGAGAAAGAGACTGCGTCGATTGGGAGGTTGATAGCGTGCATCAAAGATGCTCTACTCAAGCTTCGCCTGTTGCATGGTCCTTCAATCTCAGAAAGCCTCTTGATGGACGAGCACATCAAGAGCCTCTTTGCAAGTATTCATGATGATGATTTGGTGAATGCCTTCAAGAAGATCGTGCCCACTTGGTCTGAGATCATTGAACGAGTGGATGGACTCATTCAAGGGGCAGTGAAATCGTGGATGTCTACTACCACCTCAACCTTCAGAACATTCATCAACAAGCTTTTGGACACTCAGATGAATTACGAAAGCGTTCTGCATCCTGATATTCTTGGTGCTGTTGTTGATGGAGATGAGAAGGACACAAGTTCATGATTAAGTTTTATGATTCAATGATTCCTTTGCCGTTGCAAGAACCAGAAGTTTATAGAAGCAAATAAAGAATGTATTGACATCATACTTTGGAATGCCTGCCAAAAAAGCAGTAAGCAAGTTCTAAAGATGATGTTTGATCAAGAAAAGGGAAAACAACAATTCAAATCATTCTAATATTGATATGATATGATATGATATGATGATTATTATATGATGATTCAAACTCAACCCGTGGAGGAGGCTGAGTTCGACTACTCGAAGCTCTGCGTCGCGTACGTGTCCCACACGCCTGAGAGCACCATTGAGCTTCCCAAGGTCGAGGACGGGGAAAAGACTGTGCGAGTTCATTTGTCCTTCCTCGCAGTGGCTGGCTGTCTTCTACACCTTTCCAAAGTCATGCTGGCGATCAAGGGAACATTGGAAGAAGCTGATCAGCTTGGGGCCATCAGCGAGCCCATCACCAAAGAGCGCAAGGGCATAAAGGAGAACGGACAAATTGTCACCAACAAAATGGATGTTTTTGTGAAGCTGTGCCCGTTCTTTGCTCAAATGGAGAAGATGGTCATGACTTACCAGGACTTGGTTTCCAAAGTCCGCAATGACACGCCTTTCTTGGAGCAGGAGAAGGACTTCTACACGAGTGCTGCCAAGACTTTTAGAAAGTTCCTGTTACAAGGCCTTCGGGACAGCAGCAATGAGCTTTCGAACATTGGCAATGCCTTGTCCACACTCTTTGCTGAAGTTGATGGTGCGCGCAAGATCCTGAATCTTTTTCAATCAGATCCACTAGACCGTGATCGTGTCGCAGATTTGGTGAAAGATGACCGTGTGAAGCTCATGCTGTTGATGGGAACCAAAGCCAGTGCGTTCTCAAAACAGTTGAAAGAGCTTGTGACCGCCATGACGTCTTTGCCAAAGGGATCATTGCTCACAGAGACTTTGCAGAAAATGGTCACTGCTGCTGCAGATGATCTGACCAAATTCAGTGGTGCTCAGAATCCTCAGCGCATGGTGGAAGAGAAGGAGATGGTGACGTTGGGAAATTTTTCGTGGTTTCAATCCTCCATGACCTTAGCGCAGTGCCTCACCCGGAATTTATACCCAAGTGAAACCCGAGTAGGCCTGGCGTCCAAATGCCTGGTCCTTCTTCAGAAGAAAGGCGTGCAAAGTGAAGGAGCCTTACAGCGCCGCGTTGCGGCACTCAAAGCCGGCAAATGACCGAGTACAGCGAGTGCTAAGCTACGCCAAAGTGTGCCAGATGAGGGTTTGGCTGGCGCATATGGCCGTTGTTTACAGATTAGCGTGCTGGGTTCCAAAGACCTCGACACCTGATCCCAGGTGTGAATCTGAACATGGAGGTGTGAAAAAGGCTGCATGCAGCAATCAATGAAATCATTTGTCAGTTTGCTGAGCAGTCAAGCACGTGTCGCCGCCATAGCGATTTGGTAGATGGGAGGTAAACCATAAGAATCTGTTTTCGACAATTTTTTAGTGATAGTTATCACCGATGTTGGTGAATAATTATCACCCATTTTGGGGATAGTTATCACACCCATTTTGGTGATAGTTATCATCCGATTTGGTGATAGTTATCCCCGATTTTGGTGGTAGTTATCCCCGATTTTGGTGATAGTTATCCCCGATTTTGGTGATAGTTATCCCCGATTTGGTGATAGTTATGTACCTGGTTTGCCTCCCATATACCCTAAAGAAAACGTGTTAGAGCGACGTACTAAGTAATTAGTGGTGAAATCTTTGGGTCATTTTTAAAGTGGGCTGCAATCTAACATGCCAGGCATGACAAGGGCGGAGTCCACTATGTCCACTGAAGGAGTTTAGAAGAGATGGACCGGAGTCCAAAGTTGTTTCGCTAAACTATGGGCCGAAGCGAGTCCAAAGCAAGAGCACCCAACATGGTCTGGCAACTTTGGTAGTATTTCACATCCAGATTCTTGTCACCAATTACAGTAATGATCCCATCAACCGCTTATTTGATGGCAGCGGTGATCCTCAATGTTCGGAACATATTCTTTGCTGAACAAACACACACACTTATGATTATGCGTACTGAACTGAAAGCGGTTTGCCACACGCCGGCCTGAGTTAAAAACCTGAGATACCAAGAGGACAAATAGTTAAAGGCCATCGCTTTTAGGTTGGAGGCCATCGCAAGGAAGTTGGAGGCCAACGGCTAAGGTTGGAGGCCGTCGCTAGTAGGTGGTAGGTAGTATGCGCAAGCAAAGCAAAAGTGACAAGTAGCAAGTTAAAGGCCATCGCTTTTTTGGTTGGAGGCCATTGCAAGGAGGTCTGGGCCAACACCTAAGGTTGGAGGCCGTCGCTAGTAGGTGGTAGCTAGTAGGCACACGCAAAACAAAGTGACAAGTAGTAAGTTAAAGGCCATCGCTTTTTTGGTTGGAGGCCACTGCAAGGAAGTTGGGGCCAACACCTAAGGTTGGAGGCCGTCGCTAGTAGGTGGTAGGTACTATGCACAAGTAAAACAAAAGTGACAGCAAGCAGCAAGGTTGGAGGTCGTCGCTAGCGGGTTGGAGGCCATAGTACCAGGTTGGAGGCCAGTGCTGCAAGTTTACAAGAAGCACAAGAAACACAAGACACACAAGACAGCCAAGGTTAGAGGCCAATGCTAGTGGGTGGAGGCCAAGGAATTCAGGTTAAAGGACCACATTACAAGTTTGGAGGCCTACCTGCAAATCTATAGGGTAGAAGCGAGGAAAAACAGAAGGAAAGGCACTGACGCACAAGTGTGTCGAGTACCATTTCCTTCTGTTTTCCTAAATAGTGGAGCAGGTGCAAACCAGTCCGGCAAGCAACGGAAAGCGAGAAGCGAGCGGGCGCGGTCGCGACGTGCAGGTTTTCTGCGTATTTTTTGTTTTCCTGGTTGGTTTTCCTATGTGCTTTCCATGTCTTTTAAGTTGGCTTGCCTTGTTTTCACCTCTTCTCAAGTAGGTTAGCCTTGATCCAGTGCGTTGTCTGCCCAAAAGCGTAGTTTCATACTTTTGGGGTTGCCGTGTCAATTTTGCCAGGTGCTTTCCATTCTTTTCAAAAGGGCTTGCCTTGGTTGTGTCCATTCTGTGCTCTTTGTGTCTTCTTGTGGGCCTTGGTGTCAAAAAATTTTCATCTTAAGCTGATTTGCTTTGTTTCCGTCTCTTCTGTGCTCTTTGCGCCTTAGGTGCTTTCCATCTTTTTTAAATGGGTTACCCTTGGTTCTGTGTCTTTGTGAGCCTTGTTGCGACAAAACTGGCTCTAGGCCCCAATGTAATTTTCGTGTTGTTGGCTTCGTATTGTTGGTTTCCTGGTTGGTTTTCCTATGTGCATTCCATGTCTTTTAAGTTGGCTTGCCTTGTTTTCGCCTCTTCTCAAGTAGGTTAGCCTTGATCCAGCGCGTTGTCTGCCCAAAAGCGTGGTTTCATACTTTTGGGGTTGCCGTGTCAATTTTCCCAGGTGCTTTCCATTCTTTTCAAAAGGGTTTGCCTTGGTTGTGCCCATTCTGTGCTCTTTGTGTCTTCTTGTGGGCCTTGGTGTCAAAAAAATCCCATCTTAAGCTGGTTTGCTTTGTTTCCGTCTCTTCTGTGCTCTTTGTGCCTTAGGTGCTTTCCATCTTTTTTTAAATGGGTTACCCTTGGTTCTGTGTCTTTGTGAGCCTTGTTGCAAAAAAGTGGCTCTAGGCCCCAATGTGATTTTCGTGTTGTTGGCTTTGTACTTTTGGGTTTCCTGGTTGGTTTTCCTATGTGCTTTCCATGACTTTTAAGTTGGCTTGACTTGTTTTCGCCTCTTCTCAAGTAGGTTAGCCTTGATCCAGTGCGTTGTCTGCCCAAAAGAGTGGTTTCATACTTTCGGGGTTGCCGTGTCAATTTTCCCAGGTGCTT